GGGAAAGAGAGGATTCTTCCATAAATGGAAAACTGCAGCTTAAAACTGAGGATGCCCCAAAACCCCCCCGACTTAACGACGCACTAGAGTTCAGCTCTGCTCCTGTCCTGGCCCTGCTTTAGCCCCAAACCGTGTTCCTGCTCTTCATCCGGTCCCGGGCTCGCTCGGTCGGGCTTGTCTCTTGCTGTGTTTTTACAATGAAAGCGCTCGCCGTTTCCAGCTGCTCTCTGCAAAAGGGCAGCCCCTCTGGGGCCGATGCCTAACGAAGACATAGACGTCAGCAACTTGGAAACGCTAGCAAAATATCGCAGTTTCACTCGCTACTTCAGACTGGCTGAAAAGGAGAGCAGAAAGCCTCGGTGGTGGAAGACGTACCGGCAATACACTACCTCTGAGCCAGGTACTCGCAGATAGATCTGTGCTTTTTCGTTTCTTTGCTAGAGATCTGGGAAGCTGTTTGTAGGCTGGGGCCACGGTTGTAGACCTAAAAATCTGTCCTATTTCCCAAAGAAACACTAACTGTTTTGTGGGGTTTTTGGTTCTGGATATTTTGAGCATCCATATTTTTCATGCATGTGTTTTTTTATTTCTCTGTGAAGAGCCAGAGATCGACATCAGCCTGCCACGTGATAAACTGCTGCGGATGAAGGAACTCAAGGAAAGAAAAAAGATCCTGAGACAGAACCACCAGAATGTCGAGATGGAAAGAGCAGCACGGCTCCGAACAGGTCTGTGTCCCATCTCCTCTCCCCTGCCCTGGGTGCTCTCTCTCCGGCAGCCCTCTCCAACCACTTCCCTCCATTTGCAGTGCTGATCCCCCTCGATGAAGTCAGAGCTGAGTGGGAGAAGACCAGTGGTCCGTTCCACAAGCAGCGCGTGGCAGAACGCTACGGGATATTTCGTGACCTGTTCAAGGGGGCCACGTTCACCCCCTGGGTTATCCTAAGGGTGGGGTACAGCCAGGAAGATGAGCATGTCGTACCAGTCTACCACGGGAACATGGTGACTCCATCAGAGGTGCGTGAGGAGAGTTGGGAACATCCCCAACATCGTGGGAAAGCCTGCATCTTTTTGTCAGATGCTCCTGATTGGCATCATCACTTCTGGAGGATTTCTCTTACAAGGGCGTTTCCTCTGTGATAAAGCAAATGTACATTTCTTAAATGCGATAAGAGTAGAGCTTCGCAACAGGTTCACTGTCTGTCAGCAAACTGGGGTTTATTAATACTCCTGGAGCTCTCCTGATGGAGCTGGGTAACGCTACGCCATGGCCATGTCTGTTCTGTGCTGCTCTCTGGCTGTTCCCCTGACAGATTCACCTTCTTTGCCTTTGAAATCATGACTTAATGGAGACTGTTGTCCAGGCGATTTATGTTCTCTTTATATCGTTCATTTAGGCTTCCAGTCCCCCTGAAGTGTCATATGAGGCAGATAAAGGGTCCCTGTGGACTCTGTTACTCACAAATCCAGGTGAGTAGCAAGTTCTTTAAGAACCATGTTTAAACTAGGCTGTTTCAATCTGCTTTTGGATAGGAAGCTCCTGTTTCTTTCAGCTGCATGGTCAGGGATGATGCGATAACCTGTTACACAGGGTCTGTCCCCTAAGCTCTGGGTGCAGAGAACGGCTTCAGAGACTGTGTCTGGAAAGGGAGTTAGAATTTGCCTGCCGTGGGGGAAAAGTTGTGTCTTCTGAGAGTGCTTTTGTGCCCTTCTGTCACTTATTAGAAGATGAGTGGATGTTTGCAAAATGCTGAGTGTTACCTCACTGTATTACATACACAGGAAAGGTTTTGGTATCCTAAAATCTCTGCAAGTGCAGGAATATATTATCCAGTTTGCAGCTGTGAGATGGGACAGTGACAAAACAGGGCCCATGTCACAGCATAGGGGAAGCAATTCCATGACTCCATGTTTTGTTTACTGCCAGACTCTTCTCTCTTGCACACAGCTTGCCTGTCCCAAGTGCCCCCTCTCTTTGCAGACTCTTAGGGAGGTAGGTTAGCTGGCACTAGGCACCCCAGGAAACTAAGGTGCAGCGAAAGTAGGCGTCATCCAGGAAGTCCTTGTGATGTCAGGGTTCCAACGGTAGAGTTCTTGGCTCCTCGTTTTGAGCTCAGCCATATAAGGATGAATTGTTTTCCGTTACGTGAGAAGTGCTGGGAGGTCTTGAGGTGCCCTGTTCCAGGTGGACTGGCATTCTTGCCTTGGGGCTAATGCAAACACCACATTGTCACTAAGGTGCCTTTCTCCATTGTGTGCATTTGCAGATGGACATTTAAGAGACACTGACTCAGAGTACCTCCACTGGCTGGTGTGAGTATTGCTGATCAGAGCTCTGTGCTCCTTGGCTCAGGAGAAACCCAGGCTGAGAGGGTGGAAACTCTTTCAAAAGAGCTTGGGAACAGATGTGTTGCCAAGATGGTTCCTTGGCTTTCTCTGATGCTCCTGCCCTGGGCTTGTCACACGTCTGTGTTCTGGGTCCTGCTAAAGATGCAGTAGTTGCAGGTGTTGGTGCTGTTCTGCGTTCCATTCACTGGATGTGATTTCTTCCAGTAAAATCAGCCTCTACTATCTGCACGTTTGTTAAAGAGGTGGAAAATAGCTCATGTCAAAGCCTAGTGCGAGGTGATTTACTACGACCCTGTATGAAACTCCTAGCCCAAAAGTGGGGAAATGAATGGCTACTTAGTGAAATAAACTTCTTTGTGTTCAGGACAAACATCCCAGGCAATGACGTCAAGTCAGGAAAGGAGATTTGCCATTACTTGCCGCCTTTCCCTGCCAGGGGAACTGGCTACCATCGCTTCATCTTCCTCCTCTTCAAGCAAGACTGCCCAGTAGATTTCAGTGAGGATGCTCGGCCGATGCCGTGGTAATTCAGGTTTTCATTAGGCCGTTCCATTCTTTCTTGGCTTGGATGTTACTGCTTGTTACTCCTGCAGCAGATCAGTTTCTTTCGACCTGCAGGGTTGTTCAGGCCTTCTCGGTCTGCATGCTACCTGAAGCCAGAATCCCAGCCCTGCAAGCCTCGTAGAGTCACACTGCCTTCAAACAGGCTGTTGAGAAAGTGATTTGCCCTGGCCAGGGCAAATGTCTGTAGTGCTGAAGCACCAGGGAGGCTTTCTCCTGGTGATTCCTTTTCCCTTTCTGTTTGTAAACTCTGGGGTGAGGTGGGGAAGTAGCTGCTTAGCAGGATGCTGCAGGAAAAGAGGTTCACCTCAGCTCTTGTGCCTGTGTCCTGTTTCCAGCCACAGTCTCAAGATGAGAACCTTTAGGACGTTTGACTTCTACGAGAAGCACCAGGACCACATGACCCCAGCAGGGCTGGCATTTTTCCAGTGTCAGTGGGACAGCTCCGTTACTCGGGTCTTTCATCAGCTTCTCGGTAAGAAACGCACTGTGCAGGGGTGCTGGAGGGGGCCCGTTTGTGGGCGGAGGCATGGCTCCTGCCCATCAAGCACAAGATCAGTGAAAGAACTGTTGCTAAGGCCCTTTGCTGATCCTGGCTGCCACTGGGGCACTTGGACCTCTTACAGTACAGACTGTAATTTAGAGAATTTATTGAGCCATCCTTCACCAGCCTAACAGCTGTCTGAGGAAACGACCTCTAAAGGCCTTTCTGAATGAACATTTTAAAATAACAAGGGAGCCTTCACTAGGATGTGCTTAACCAGCCCTGATCTCGTGCCCTGACCTGGATGCACAAGGCAGCCCTTGCTAGCAAAGGGAAGGGGCCAGGGTTTGGATCTGAGGCATCTTGCTAACGTTCTGCCTTCCCCCTTTACAGATATGAAGGAACCCGTGTTTGAATTTGTGCGGCCACCCGTTTACCATCCTCCACAGGAAAAGTTCCCACGCCGGCAGCCTCTGAGGTACCTGGACAGATACCGAGCTACCAAGGAGCCCACCTATGGCATTTACTAGGGGCCTGGCCTCTTCTCTGCGTTCTCTGGTGTACATGAGGATGCAGGCCCAGAACGTGGGACTGCTGGCTTCCTTGTGTTTGCAGAACTGTGATGCTGGGAGAAGTCTGCACCTCCAGAGGAAGACAACAAATTCTCAGCCCTCTGGCTCCAAGTTCCACTTTGTTGGCAGTACTGGGAAGCAGGCAGCTAAGGGCAACAGGCATTTGCAGCATTGGCAGTTGTGTGGTCAAAAGGCTGCTTAAGAGCATGTTCACGTATGAGAACAAATCCATGTCCAGGCTGAAATCTTGCTACTGATTTTGTGGCAGAGCTGATTGATAAGGGTGCCAGGGTCGAGTCCACCAGAGATGCTCTGCCTTGCTTCTCTGAAGGGATCAGAGCTCTCCTTTTGTCCATTTACAGTGCAGATGGAGCCAGGTCCACCTGTGTCTCCTCCCCTTCCCAGTGCTGCGGTTTGGGGCTGTGTTGGCTCTTTTTTTGTACAGTTCTCTTAAAAAGCTGAGTCTGATTAAACGCGTTGTGAGCAACACTGGAGGCACTGCCTTGTGTTCACTGAGAAGAGCTTGGGTGTCCCAGCCATCTGGTGCGGACGTGGGGAGTTCAGTGGGCTGCACGGGAGAAATGCAGCCCTTCCTCCTGGTTTGGCTCTCCTTCCCCTCCTGGATGTTACAGGGAGAGAAGAGCACAGCTAAGTACCTGGTAAACCTTGTAAGAGTCTGTTCAAGGTCAAAGTTAATGAAGCTGACTTCTCCCAACAGCTGTCCAAGCACATGGACCCCAGTTTCCTTCTCCTCACCTGCTGGACAATGTGTTGACAGGAGTCTAAAGCAGATCTGTGGAGCAGACACATGGTGATGGCCTGGCAGCCTACTGCTGCCTGTCCTGTACCCAAGTTGTGGAGAGATCTGTGGTGTTTTCTGCTCTGCAGAGCTCTTAGTCCAATCACTGTTTGCGTGTTTTAAATAAAACCCCCAGATACCAATGTGTTCCTGCCACTGCAGCTGTCTTTTCCCAACTCTGGTTCCTAGCAACCTTAATCTAAGGTCCCCCTCTTCCTAGGGAAACAAGAGACTCCAGTAAGCAAAGGAGATTGGGCTGAAATGCCCACCTGCTGCCATTGCTCAGGGCCATTACCAGTTAGGTAGTGAGCTGCCATATGCTCTCCCTTTTAATATTTGGTCAGAATTTGCAGATTCAGCCAAAATAAATGTTTGGAGGGCTGTTGCTTGCCTTGGCTGAAGCTCTGTTGTGGCATGCAGTGAGTTGTGACAGGTCCTAACGTGCCCTGCTGAGTTCAGGGGCAGTCTGAGGTTGTGCCTCCGAGCTTGCGTTTGATACAGAAACTCCTCTGATCTCCCACCACCCCGACCGCGAATGCCCTAACCGCAGTAGGGATCTCCTCCCCACTCGCCTTACCTGGGCAGGTGGGTGAAAGCAATGCTGTGCCACGTGAGGAGGCTGCAGAGCTGTTGGCAGAGCTAAGGCCACCTCACAGAACAGTGTTTAGCTGATCAGCAACACGTGCTCACAATGATAGTATGTCTGCAAGGGTATGTAGATAAGGATTGGACTGGAAGGTTGGCAGCATTTTCCTTCCTGAATGTGAACTGTATAAAGATATGAAGACACATGGCACGCAGGCACCACAATCGCCTCCAGACAGAAGACTCCACCTGTCATCTGGGCATGGACTGATTTCCCGGGTGAGGTCTTTCCTGCCTTTTGGGGTAGAGCTCTACTGATGTGCACTAGGTATTGCAAGGAACATGCTAGTACAAGTTAGTGCTAGTTCTCTCTACCGCGCAAGGAGCGTTGGCTGCCCCAGCTGGCATATGCAAACAGCAGGAGCTGTGGTTTGAAGGATGCAAGGAGGGAGGGAGGGAGGCAGTTAGAGTGGCTGGCTGCTGGCATGCGTCACAGCCCTTGTCAGCGCAGAGGGAAGCGGCAAGTGTCTGCAGCAGCAGTGGGTGCTCCTCTCTGCCAGTTGCCAGGCTGGCTGATGGGGCAGGAGTGCCACACTGAGGTCTCTCTGCCAGGGACAACTGTCATGCTCTGCTTGGGGACCAGTCTCTGGGGCCCTGGGAGAGGCAAGGGTGGGCTATCCTCCCTCTGCAACTGGCCTGCCCGTCCCTCCAGCAACCCTGAGTGCTGGAGCAGGTGCTGTGGGATTGCAGCGAGCATCCCTGCATCTGGGGAAAACAACTGCTGAGAGGCGAGGAAGTTCCCCGCCAAAGGCAGAAAAGGAAATCGGATTATATAGAATACGGATACTCATGCAAACACGTACAAGCACATATGCATTGCTTTGAATCTTTTTAGCCTCTTGCAGGAGGAAAAACAATTTCCCCCTGCTGTCACTGCAGCGTTTTTATCCTCTCTGGGGCACCCTGCTGTGCTCTGCAGCCCCTCGCAGGGAGCAGATTCAACCCTCCGAGCTGTCTGTTCCGCCTGTGGGCGAGCGCAGGTCGGAGCTGGCGAGGCCGAGCTGCCGAGCAGCACCCGCTGGGTGTCTCTTTAAGAGTGTCTGGCTCTGTGCCTCGACCCGCCTCTGGGCTCTGCATCACCATCTCTTCCTCCTTTTCCCCAGCTGGGGCTGGGTTTCGTTTCCTCGGTGCCCTGCTCCCCGGCACAGGATGGCATCGACAGTCTCCCAAAAGCTGGAGGAGAAGCTGGTCTGCTCCATCTGCCTGGAGCTGTTCAGGGTGGCCGTGACCTTGCCCTGCGGGCACAACTTCTGCCGGCAATGCATCAGCGACCACTGGGACAAGCAAGAGCAGGAGGCCTCCAGGGCCGAGAAGGGCTACACCTGCCCCGAGTGCCGGAAGAGCTTCGAGCGGCGCCTGGAGCTGAAGAAGAACGTGACGCTGTGCAGCGTGGTGGAGCTGGCGCGGACGGGCGAGGTGCAGGCCTCGGGCGCCGAGAGGCGCGAGGTGGCGCACGGCGGCCAGTGCCCGCGGCGGGTGCTCTTCGAGGAGGAGCGCTCTAAAGAGCAGGTGGGGGACAGGGGAGCCATCGACCACCCCTGCACTGAGGCTCTTCTGCCCATCTGCTGCCCCTGCATCCCCTCGTCAGCGTAGCAAGGCCACCACCAGCCTTTAAGCACCCCCGGGCTGCGAGTCCAGCCCCGAGCAAGGCAGCTCTGCCCCGTCCTCCTCCCTGACCAACATAGTCTCGCCCTCCAGGGTGACTGCACTGGGGTGGTGGGAAAGGGACAGCTGAGCCGGGCTGGCCACGCAAGGTGGCTTGGGCACAGCATGACGTCCCCCGGAGCAGTCAGCAAGGGTTGCAGCCTCTCAGCCTGCGGGGATGTGAGGTACCTACTGTATGCTGAGCTGTGCCTGGCCTCAGCTGACGGAGCTGTCGCGGGCTCTTTCCCTGAGAAATCACGGGCTGTTTGCAGCAGCAGAGAATGGCATAAACTCAGCAATTCTGAAAAAAGTGCTGCTATGTATGTTTGTAACCCCCTGATCTAGGGGAAGCAGCTAGAAAAGGGTGAAATCCAGCAAAGTGCCTCACTTCTAAGTGACGCAACACAGCGTTTCCCCTCCCTAAGCCTCCTCCTTCCTCACGAGGGTTTTTCTCGGAGGCCCATGAGGGATAGATGGGCGCGAGGTGAGCTCTATCGCTCTCCACCGCGAGGTGTCTGTGCCACCCTTTGCAGGCCCTTCTGAGAGAGACCTTGGAAAAAGCCCAGCAGGAGTCAGAGAGGATCGAGCAGGCGATGCAAGAGCTGGAGAAGCAAACGCACAGCATCAAGGTAATGCTGCGACAGGACACGGGTGCCCCATGCTGCTCCCTGGGAGGGAGCCCACTGGATCTCACCTGTCTTCCCCATCCAGGACTCCTCCGAGAGGCTGAAGTTGATGGTTCTGAACAAATTTGCCCACCTGGAGAAAGCCCTGGAGGACTGCCAGCGGCTAACAGTGGCCAGGATCCAGCAAGAGCAAGCAGCAGCACTGGGGCAAGTGGAAGAGAACTGGAGCCACCTGAAGGACTGCCTAGATGCCTTCGACCACCACAGAGAGAAGGCACAGGACCTGCTGGCCTGCACTGACAACCGGACGTTCCTTGAGGTATCGCCCTGGCACAGTGTCCCTTGTCCCTCTCCATCCCTTTCACTGGTGCCTGAGCATTCCCAGCTCTGCTCCCTTCTGGCGAGGATGGAGACGTGGCCAACCCCTTGGGGCTGCTGATCCTCCCCAGTCTAGCTGCATGGGTATCTGTCTGTCCGTCCGCAGGAATTCCCCCTGCTCCCTTCTCCAGAGAGCCCGGAGGCATTGCCCCCTGTGGAGTTCAATGTGGGCATGATAGAGCCCATCACTGAGATCCTCACGGACATCTCCAAGCTCTTGCTGGAAGACTTGCCTGGCTCCGTGGCCCCCAAAGCCACTGACCCCGTAGCCACAGGTAAGCCCTCTGCACACAGATCACCCCAAAGGACCTCAAGCCACTCTGGACCACAGCCTTGCCCTGGTCCAGTGTCACTATGCTGGGGATACAGCTCCTGGGCACAGGGGGCTGAGAGGGGGGCACGTGTCTGCTTTCCAGCAGACAAGTATCAACAGGATGGGACGTGCTAGGTGGCTTCTCTGTGTGCCCTGTCCTTATTGGCAGTGCCAAGCCGCAGCAATATGTGCCCGCTCCCAGGCTTGGATGTCCTCGTTTTCCTCCTCCTCCTCCTCCTCCTCCTTCTCCTCCTCCTTCCCCTGAAGTTTGGCAGGGATGAGTTCTTTGGGTGGCATCACACGAAATGCCTGCTGGCTTCCTCCCACCTGAGCAAACCTCAGCTCCCGCCATCCACCTGGTGCTCTCCCCTCTCCATAGGTCCAGTCCAGCCAGAGGCACCTGCAGTGGTGAAGGTGGTGGACCCTCTCCCCAGGTGCCAGCTCCGAGCTGAGCTTCTGAAGGGTGAGGAGCACAGTGGGAGCGGGGGGGGAATGGGGCTGTGCTGGGATCCCCAGCTGGCCTTGGGGGCAGGGCAGTGATTTCTCCAAGCTGGGACCCTTCCCTGGGAGGAGGTGGGCAGAGCGAGGTGGCTGCAGGAGAGCGTTTGTGGCTACGGGGGTGTGGGTTCCCTCCCTGGCTCTCACAAAGCATCTCTTGTGAGCCCGGTCCTGGCGCTGGCTGCGTTTCCCTAAATACAGAGGAGGGTGTCACGTGGCTGGGGAGGGCAGGCTGGGAGACGCCGTTCAGAAGGGAAAACGCTCGTGGGTCGTTGCTAGCCCTTAAGGGCACCAGGGACCAGCTTTCCCGCGGAAACTGGAGCAGCCCATGCCCAGAGTCTGGTTGGTCACTGCAGAGCGTGGCCAGCGCTGAGATGCTCCAGATCTCACCCCGTCTCCACCCTCTCTGTGTTATCTGCTTCCCCTGCCTCCGGCTTCTCGCCCGGGCACGAGCAACGTGCCTGTTCCCAAGGACCCATATTTAGACACGGCTCTTCCCCAGGGCAGGCCGACAACGTCAGCAGCTGGCGCTCCGCGGGGATGTAGCACGGCCCGGTGCTGAGCCGGCACGGCCGCGAGTGCCGTGCAGAGCCCGGCCTGCGGTTGTTGCTCCCTTGCCCTGGGAAATCACCCCGGATGCTCCCACCTGCGATCCTTCCTTTCGCCTCCCCGCCCCGGGCTCAGCCGCAACGGGGAGCGCGGTTAGTGCAGCGAGGCTCGTTTCTCCATCTCCCCCCCCCCCCATCTAAAAGAGGGATAAATAATGTTTAGGGTGCTTTTGTCAGGTCCCTCACCAGCTAGACCATCAATGCCTAAGGGATCTACAAGGATCCCTTCCTTAATGGCCAGAAAATCCCACAGAACCTTCTCAGCAATATTAATAGCAAAAAATGTAATTTATTACCAGTAGGCATGAGCCCAGAACAGCCAGCCAGGCTGGGTTGCTGTGGGAGGAAGGTGAGGTGCTGGCAACAGGCCAGTCCCAGCTGCAAAGGAGCCTGGCAGACCATCTTAGACTAACTCCTTCTGCTACCCCACACAGGTGCCAGCGTGATAGAGCCGGAGACCTGCAGCTCCCCAGGTGAGTGCACCGCAAAGGGGACAGCTGGAAAAATACCCTCCATATAACACACACACACACACACACACTCGCACTTTTTGCTCTTAAAATCAAGTCCATCTCTTCCAAAGTTACCGCTGAGCCATTGCACGCTTGCAGCTATTTGCTAGTTGTTTTGGGCCTTCCCCTCATCAGCATCAGCGAGGGGCAAAGCATCAGGTCTTTGCCCCTCGCCAGCTGTTTCTGGGCTCTTTTCTCATTCGTTTCAGCATGCGGGCAGGCATGGAGGAGCCAGGCAGGTGTCACGTCCCGACACGCTCCTCTTCCCCTCCAAACGTGCTCGGAGTCGTTTGCGTCTATTTTCGGGGCAGCCCTGCGCGGCTTAAACCGTGCTGCTCTCGGGGGGCTCACACAAACGGGCAGGAGCAAAGGCACCGCGAAGCGTTTTGGCCCCCCCCCTCCATGCCCTTGCTTCTTCCTCCCATTTCCAGACCACCGAAACCTGACCTTCGACGCCGAGACGGCCAACAAGTACCTGCGGCTGTCGAGCAGAAACCAGAGGGCCAAACACCCGCGCAGCGCCGACAGCCAGCAGCAGGACCACGCCGCCCGCTTCGAGCTGTGGCAGGGGCTGTGCGTGCAGAGCTACGGCCAGGGCCGCCACTACTGGGAGGGGAAGGTCTCTGGCCACTCCGTCATCGTGGGGGTGACGTACCGGGGCATCCCGCGGAAACGGCAGCCCGGCCACAAGTTCAACATCGGCCTGGACGGCGGGTCGTGGGGGCTGCAGGTGCGGGAAGACTGTTACTTAGCCTGGCACAAGGGTCGGTCAGAGAAGATCCAGGAGCGCTTGTACGAGTACCTGGGGGTCAGCCTGGATTACAGAACGGGGATCCTTTCCTTCTACGGCCTCGGGGACAGGACGCAGCTCATCCACACTTTCCACCACATCTTCACGGAGCCCCTCTACCCCGTCTTCTGGCTTTGCGAAGGCCGAACGATCACGCTGTGCCAGAGGGACTGAGCCGGGTGTATCTCAGTGCAACAACTCGCAGGGCACCAAAGCCGCGGCAGGAGTGGGGTGCAGTGATTTAAACACAAGTAGGTGAAGCCAGAGGTGCAAATTAACTGTCTGCTTTGCATATGCAAATATCATTATGTCTACACAAATTAAGGCAGTGGCAAGGATGCTGTTGCTTCACTGAGGTGCCCTCGCAGAGGGGATGAAGCCCTCCAGTATCTGTAAGTGCACGTGCTCAGTGCCCACCCATGCAGAAGGGAGTCAGTGACCGTACAAGAGAGGGCGATGGGAGGGCACAAGAACATGATTTTCTTGTCCCTCCTGTCCTGGCCAAACCCACCCATGCCTGGAGGAGCTTTGGGGTGAAGGGGAGATGAGGGGGGCGCAGACCCTCCTGGGGGGCTGCCAAGCCAGACTCAGGGAGCCTCATGCTAATTGAGACCACAGGCTTTCCAGAGCCTGTGGTAGGCCCAGTTCCTCCAGCCCCCCCGTGCCATCTTGTCACTCTTTGACTTGGACTCACGCAGGGCAGAGCATCCTTTTTGGGGTGCCACACTGCAGTTAATGTTTGTAAGAAGCTGCTAGCCCCAATAAAGCTTTATTTTCCTACATGCTTTGACGTCAGTGCTGGCAGGAGACGTGGGACCGTACAGCGCTAGCAGGAGTGAGCCAAGGCGCCCTGGCTCCGGCACTCATCCCTACATGGCCTTGGCATGCCTGGCTGCATCCTCGGGGGCCGGCTGCGGGAACCAGCCTCTTTGTGGCATCCAGCCAGCGTCAGAAATAGAAGGGGCTTTATTTACTGTAGCTCTGCGATAAGGAAACCTGGTTTCCTACGGCTTTGTCTCAAGGTTGATGTGGCGCTGACGAAAAGCCACAGCCTCGATCAAAGCTTTTCCAAGGGTGAGCTGGCAGAGTCAGCGCTCTCCCCTGCCGCCCCCGCAGGCACAGCCTCAGCCGGGATGCTGGCTGAGGACTAACCGGCCAAAACTGGGCACCGGATTCAAAGATGCTGAAGATGTGCAGGCAAACATGCAGGGAATGAATCACAGCAGCTTGTTTTCTTCGGTGAAAAAAGGCTTAAAAGGAGGAATCCCCTTGGTCGTAAACTAGTGCATTTAGTTTTGCCATGCTTCTTCCATCACGCCATGCCTTCCTGCTTCTCCCAGCCCCATCCCTTGGTGGGACCTTGGGCCAGCTTGCCTACGTGCAATCCCCGCTTGGGCAGGGTGGCGGTGTGCACTGCTGGTGCCATGCTGGATGCAGCATCCCGGCTGGCTGGAACAGCTCAAGCATCTCCCTCCATGCCCGGGGGGATGAGCCCACGCCAGCAGACGGTGGCTGAACCCACAGCGTCGACCAGCTGCCAGCCAGAGCTCGCACCCAGCGCCCGACCTGTCCTGGGTGCTGGCAAGGCCAGGGCTGAGTCGAAGCTCACCGGGAAGGGGGCCGGGGCACTGAACCCCCACGGGTGACGTGGGCGCTGCTGCCCCGTGGCCTTGCAAGCAACTTGGCTGCAAGCCTTGCACCGGCAGGGGCAGGAGGGCAGGAAAGGGTGGGCACCCTTGTGCTGGAGGGTGCTCAGGACCCCCCCACCCCCCCCCCCCCCCCCCGCCGCGGGGGGGGGGG